GATGTTTCTTCTTAGGAACGTGTTCATATGTAATGATGATGTTTACAACATGTTATGTTGTGTATCTGACAGTTGACGGTGATGCTAATGTTGTTGGCTTTGTTGTTGTTAGTGCTGTTAGTGTTGTTGTCATTATTGTTGCTGTTGTTGCTGCTGCTGTTGTTTGTTGTTGTTAGTGTTGTAGTTTTGCTGTTGCGGTTGCTGATGTTGTTAATGATAAATATGTTCTTAAAGTTTATATTCATAAGGTTTTCATTAATGTGACGATTTGTATGTTAATGCTACACTGACAGTACTGACGTAATGTTTTTGTTGATGTTTTAGACGATGACGTCATAATTTTGTTTTTCATTGTTGATGACGTTTCTAGGGATGCCTGTAATGTCTGTGGTGTTGGTCTACCTACCTTGATGATGTTGTTTTAACGATGGTTCTTCTTTTCAGCATTCATAGATGTTGCTCTTATAAGGATATATATATATATATATATATATATATATATATATATATATATGCTGTAAACTACAGTAAGTTGAAAATGATGTTGTTGTTGTTGTTGATGTTGTTGACGGTATTGTTGTTATTGATGTTGATGATGTTGTTGTTCATTTGTATGTGTGTATTTTACTTTGATGTCATTCATTTGAATGTTGATGATGAAGTAATAAATTTAGTTTTAGTATTAGTGGAACGAGTTGGTGCAATGTTGCTGTGTGGGATGATGAGTAAGTATCCGGATGACTGGGATGATTAAAATGATGGTGATGACGACTGAGATGATGATAAAATTGTGTTGATGATAAAAATAGCTGCAGTCCAAATGTGTGCTGGCTTTAAGTTTGAATGTGGGAATTTGGGTATCCATCAATAGGCCTGATAAGGTGTGGTTTGTTTGTCTGCACTTCTTGTGAAAATTACAAAAAATTGTTATTTCAAAAAATTGGACTTATTCAAAATAATAATAATAATAATAATAATTTTGTTGTTATCTCTTTATATTATTATTTTCCTGTTTAAAATTTTTCACCATTGTAAATAGCATTAAATGAAGTTGAATTTGTTGCATTTTCTCCTGATTGCCAGTAACTGATCGCCGTTTCATAGAATTTAAAAAAGAATCCCTTGAATTCATTTTTTCAACTGAACAAACAGCTTTCAAAGGCTTGTTCTTTTTTGGTAGAAACTCAATCAAATGAGAATATTTTTCAATCCAGAGAAATAAACGTTCTTCGAAATGAAAGAGTTTCATTTCAAACTCGTCGGTGGGCTTTTTAAATGGCGCTGCTTCCGCTATGAATAACATTTGGATCGGAAGACAACGAGATTTTTCAAAATTACAAGTAAAATTCAATTTAATGAATGAAAGATTATTATGAATGAGTTTGTATAGGTAAAACTATTGAATGGAGAATAATTAAGAAAAAAAATTTATATGTAAAATTAGTAAATTACAAATAATTAGAAATAAATTCTTATTATCTAGCTGAAGAACTTTGAAAATATTTAACACAGAATTCAATTTCAAAAGCTACAAAATTGGAGCAGTGGAATATCCAACAGTACCATAATTGAATTTTATTATATTTTTACTGTTAAAGTATCTTAATTTTTGAAAAAAACATCAAAAGTACAAAAATAATGACATCAAGAGACACGTTAAACCTTGGAAAAAAACTGCAACATCTGTCCATAATAAAAACGTAAAAATTCAATGAGGAAAGTTATGAATCATGCATGAAATTTTCACACAGACACATAAACACATACACACATACACACAATCACACACACACAAACACACACAAACGAACAATGCATAAGCAAAAAATAAAAAATTCCGTTACAAAAGCAAGCATGTAAACAAATTATAAGCCGACACGTGGAAGAATTTTTACGCATACATTCACATTAACATCTAAATATACAAACGTATGAACCCCTTTGCATATAACCAACATAATAAACATTCACATAAACATTCATCCTTCATATAAACAATAGTATAAACATTTATAGCGATTCATATAAACATTCAAATAATCATCCGAATGCACACAAACAAACACTGGTATAAACGTTTACCTCTCTTATAAACATTCAAATATACACTTAAAATAAGACTTCTTCAAAAACATTTATCATTTATATAAACATATTTATACAAAACATCTTCAAATATTAATACAAATATTGCATAAAACCTACAAAACAAACATCACTACAAAAAAAAACATAAACAAGCGTCATACTTGTATATTTCTATTCATGTTCGAACGGAAACAACACTCATTTAATGGCGTGGTGTTTCTCTATGGAGGTTCGTTCATCAACAGTCGCCATCATCACCATCCTCTTTATCACCATCATTATCATCATCATTATCATTCCCATCATCACCATCAACATCACCACCTCCTCCTCCTCCTCCTAGAGATGCTAACGAAGACGTCATGTGATATTATTAATTGATATATCTATTATTTGTTTTTACATCATGAAGTTCAGAGAGATGAAAAGCTAATACAAATCACTTTGTCGAAATTACTTTCTCACTCACATCATCATCATCATCATCATCATGCCGTCATCATCATCATCATCATCGTCTTGTTATCTTTTGTATAAAACTATCTAGGATTTTGCAGTTCATTACTCAGGCTGACAACACAATTTATTTGACAATAGCTGTCATTACAATCATTACTGATATCATATCATATTATATGTCATATCATATCATATCCTATCATGTCATATCATACCACATCACATCATATCATATCATATCATATCATACCATATATCGTACCATATATCACAGCATGAATTCGAAATTCATATTATAAATTCTCCGTTCAATAATGTTCGGTATCTTATTCATTATTGAAATTACTTCACTTACGTATGTCGTCTGTGTTTATTTTCGGCCATCATCATAAAATATATTTTTCCTCTTTATCTTCTCCATTTTCATCAACTTTATCATTGTCATTACTTTTCGTTAAAGTCAATTTTGCTTTGTCATCATCTTTGTCATCATCATCTTCGTCGTCATCTTCGTCGTCATCTTCGTCGTCATCGTCGTCCTTATCATCCTCATATTAGTGGCGATGTTGTGGCGGTCAGGAATGATTTTAAGGTTCATTAGACATAACGGCCTAACGGACAAACGGCTTCATTACAGATGCCCGCCTCCTCAAACATCATTTTTATACAAATTACGAATAAGTATCTTTCATAATTTTTCATTACGAATTAGCATCTTTCATAATTTCTCATATAATTATGATAATAAATTATGGTATATGGTTCTAATTATTCATCAAAATGACACTAACTTGATAAATTTTTAATTTTTTATAAAACATTTCATCCACTCATTTAGCAAGTAGTTGATTAGTGAGTTCTTTTCGTAATGTTTTTGTGCTATTGTCATGCATACTCTTGTCATGCATTTCGTCATCAGCATCACCACCACCACCATCATAATCGTAATCGTAATCGTAATCATAATCATGATCACCACCACCCATATCATCATAATCACTATCACCACCTACAGAATATCTGCCACGTTTTCCTGTCCAATGAAATTGTACAAGTACCCCTTCGATACACAGATCTGCCCAATGACCTTCGAGTCATGTAAGTAGATCATGTTATCATTTAAAGAAGTCATGTCATGTCATCACGTGAGTAGGTCATGTCATGTCATCATGTAAGAAGGTCATGCCATCATGTGAGCAGGTCATGTCATGTCATCACGTAAGTAGGTCATGTCATGTCATCATGTAAGAAGGTCATGCCATCATGTGAGCAGGTCATGTCATGTCATCACGTAAGTAGGTCATGTCATGTCATCATGTAAGAAGGTCATGTCATGTCATCACGTAAGTAGGTCATGCCATGTCATCATGTATTTAGTTCGTGTTATCATGCCATTATGTAAGCAGGTCATGCCATCGTGTAAGTATGGTAGGTCATATGATGACGCCATGGCTTTATTATTTTTGAAACTTTAGCGGGTGATTTTAATTGATCCAATAAATAATCAGAGATATCTTCATTCTACATTGCTCTACTCTTTTCAATGTCTAATATTAAAAATACAAACCAAACTTGAAACTAGAAAAATTTTAAAATTAATGTGCAGCATGTATTACGTTTTGAATGATATTAAGTGGAATGTCCAATTGATTTTTATGAAAAAAATAAGTTTAAATATATCTAAATTTATTATTTGAATTTCGGTTATTGATTCCTAGCATTTGAAACTGCGGCCTTCGTATTCGCAGAGCACTAGCGCAAAAACCGTGCAGTAGTTTCAAAGGTAGTGACCATTGAAGTGAAGTGCCCAATAATTCAGGCAGTGTTACATTAGATCTCTGCTTTTTAATGTTACTCTAGGCATTTAATAAATTGAGGAAACCATTCATTTCGAACTTTGATCGGTAGTTGTATCTTTTCAAACAGTTGGTTTGTTGGTTGGTTTGTTTGTTGGTTGGTTGGTTGGCTGGTTGGTTGGTTGGTTGTCCTTGTTAAAAAATGTAACACTACTTATTTTAGGCTTACGTAAAAAAATTACAAAACCTACCGATGATAGATATAAAACCCTACTGCTATTGAATCTTCTTTGTTTAAGATTAAGTAGTTCAATGAATATAATTAACACTTCCAAGTCTTAACAACGTTCACCCCAGCGATTAGAAATTGAGTAGATCAGTTTGAAAAATTCGACTGAGGTGTTGTTCCCCACCGTGATCTGAATTCGAAGTTTTTTAAATCGCCGTTATCATCATCATCATTTTTCATCATCATCATCATCATTTTTCATCGTCATCATCTTCATCACCATAACAACCACCCAGTTGGCTACCCTACGGACATCTTGTTCTTCTCCTGGCTTGACGAGCCGGTAACATTTGACAAGCAGATCGAACTTCCGCAGTTTATTTACAGGACCCATGTCCTACATGATTGCGTTCAGAACTATACTGGAGGTCTGTGGTGGTGGTCAGTGGTGGTGGTCAGTGGTGGTGGTCAGTGGTGGTCAGTGGTGGAGGTCAGCGGTGGTGCGTGGTGTTGATGCTGTCGGATGATTGTGATTGGGATGTTGATGGTAGAGAGGATTAAGACTGGATGAGAGGATGATGTTTATGGTGAGGTTGGTTGATGATTGGATGAAATTATGACGTCATGGGATAAATGGTTATGACTGGATGAGTGGATGACGATGTTGATGGTGAGGATGAGTTTGATTGGATGAGAGAATATTGGTAACTATATTGCCTGTCACGAAAAATATATATTCTGATGAGATGTTTGAAATTTATATAGATTAAATAATTTAAATTGTATAAATAATAATTGTTACCAAAAATCAAAAACTGCATGTTGATAAGAAAAAGTTTATACGAAGTTCTAAGTGACCTTCGTAAGGTACCGATAAACTTTGAAATCTTTAACAATGCTAGGCCGTACAGTACAGATGCACTTAGATTGAGATTGGATAAGTGATGCCAGTTAATTTCTTTGAAGGGGGTGTCTTCTTTAGTGCAATTGTTCCATAATAGTGGTTGGCCGACATGGTTTGAATGTGAGTTAGGTCAAATTTAAAGACCCGCATACATTTGGTTGAGTGTCTGACGCGGTGGCTGCGCTGCATACAAATGTGTGTCGCTTGTGTCACTCGCATTGCACGCTGTATGTTACAGCTTGCCTGGATTTGTAGATTAGTCCTCATGATGACAAGTTCAGCTCCTTCTTTGATATATATTGTATATTAAAAAAATAATACTTCCAATATAAACTGACAAAGATGTTTATGATAAATGCAACTTGAATCACCACGGAAACTCGTATGTTTCAACTTTTTCTTTCTCTCTCTCTCACTTTCTCTCTCACTTTCTCTTTCTCTCTCTAAATCTTTTTTCCTTCTTTATATAAATAAATGTTACTTTTTGTTCCACTTATTAATTATTCCCCCTACGTAAATATTTTCCCCAACAAATTTTGTCTGTCACATTCTCAGATCAATTTAATTTCAGTGAAAAATTCAATAAAGAGGAAACGCATGTTTAGAAGCTTGTTAGTGTACACACGTGCACGTGTTTTTATAAGCGAATATTACATTGATGCATTGACATGTGGAGTTCACAGAGTGGAGTTCATACTGATGAAATCGTGGTGAACATTTTATTTTCGCCATTCAATATCGTTGTCATTGGCACCCATTAAATTCTCTATCGTCTGCTGAGAGTAAATACCTACACGCACAGCCACATGCTACCTCTTTGTTACTGGTTGGTGCTGCCAATGGCTGTCTAGATGTGCATTTCTTTCTCTCTCTCTCTCCCTCTCTCTCTCTCTCTCTCTTTCTCTCTTTTTCTGTGTGTGTCTGTTTCTTTGTTTCTTTCAATATGGGTCTGTGGTCTGTGTGTTGAGAGGTTTGTAATTTTGTATTTCAATTGTGTTATTGTCGATTAAATAAGAGCTAGAAATGTGTTATTTAATTAATTACAATTTATTAATTTAATTGAGAATATGTTTTGGTTTTTCTTTGCCGCAAAAATTTTTGAATGCTGCTTGGAAAATAAATTTGTTGTTACAGTGAACGACAGCCGGACCTTAACTAAATGCATATCTGAGCAGATGGATAAATTACGACCATAGACAAAATAATATGAATGACATAAATTAAAAAATTTCTTTCAACATTCTTTATTCACTTTCATACAATTTCCAGTTGTTAGCATGTTAAAATTGCGCGCCTAAAGAGAAATTTGAGGAAAAATTTTTTACAACGGAACTTAATTAGAGGATTGTAGAATGTGGTTTGCAGCAATAAGCAAGCAAGTGTGTGTGTGTGTGTGTGTGTGTGTGTGTGTGTGTGTGTGTGTGTGTGTGTGTGTGTGTGTGTGTGTGTGTGTGTGTGTGTGTGTGTGTGTGTGCCACGAATAGATCACTTTAAATAAATTCACAAAAAAGGTCTTTTTAATTTTAAAGTGATCACAAGTATCCTCTGATCAAATAAAATTTATTTTATTGTTTTGTATCGTGTTGAATTGTGTTGCATTGGATTGTATTATTTTGAAATGAATAACTAATAAGAAATAATGTAGGTGAAAAAGAATTAATTTGAAATGCAAAATTGACTTTTCTAAATATCGCGAGGTTAAATAGAAAATGATGGTGGCGATATATTAAGGCGGTAAGCAGCAGTAGGGTACCTGATACATGGAGAGATTTCCATATATGCAGATGAAGATGTTTGTCACCAGGTTTTTCCAGTTCGTTTCATTGCTCGGCACATTAAGAGACCTCTTCATAAAAAAAACCTCCTTTGAAAAATTGCTTTATTGATGTTTTGTTGTTATATTGATGTCTCTATGTGATCTGCTTTTGTGTTGTTTAGGAAGATTGTGCCCTGATGAATGTTGTCCAAGTTGTTGTTTCTATGATTGTTGCGATATTTAAGGAACGTAAAACCAGCAAACAACTTCTCCGCACTATGCTCTTTGGAAAGTTATTTTCATCACATTTCATCTACAACTTTTCATAATTATTTTGTGACATGGATATGAAATATTGCATTGTCCGATTTGTTCTTCTGATGTCTCTGTCTATTTTTATCTTAGTTTTTTATTGATCAAAGTTGTCACTTGCCAGTCTCCATGCTCATCTTACTAAAATGCTTCATAATATTCTTTCGGTCTGTGTTGGTTGACGTGTTTGTTTTTTTTTTGTTTTCTGGGTGAAGTCATTTTTTATTCTTATCTTTATCTTTTTTTATATATTGGTGTGTTTGTTTGTTTGTGTTTGTTTGTCAGTGTTTGTTTGTCGTTCGTTCGTTTGTTTGTTTATTAGGTTGATGCAAGCATCTTATACATTATTCATTTTGCGAAATGATGAATTGGTTGGCATTATTCAAACCACCGAGTAGCTATTAAACTCATCTTTCAACAAAATATACGACCATCTCTCTAGTAATAAAAACATATTTCATACTGAATTGCATCTTTAAAAACTTGAGAGCCAACAACAACTATTACAGCAGCATCAACAAACAACAACAACAACAACATCAACAACAACAGCACAGACATCAACAGAACAACAACAACGCAAACATTTTTGTCCCGTGACACGTAAGTTCAACGAAATAAAGGCACCCCATAAAAATATATAATTTGAAAAGTAAAAAAATGATGGCAAAGTATAAAATGAGAAAAAAATTATTGCTCCCTGGATAGATTGGGCCTAATTTATACTCACTGCTAAGCTACACACACGCTTGTACAGTTTAAACTTTTCAAAAATATTTTCATTCTTTGCACTGAGCGATTTTAACAAATTTGTTTTTTTTAAGAAATAATATTATTGCAAATGGATAAAAAAATCTGAAATTAGTATTTAAATTTTTGATTGAGATGTAGAGAGAAAATTTATTTAAATGTGAAGTTGTATTGTTAATCGTTGAATCTGGTCAGCTGCTCTCCTGAGACCCCATCCTAATGTGCTTTTGTTATGAAGGAACTGCAAAATAAATTAGACTGAATTCGAATTTATACGGAAACACTTGAAAACGACAGACACAACTGCAACAAACACAACAACAGAACTACAACAACAACAACAAAACTTTCAGAATCACCAAACCAACCAACAAAACAGCCACTCACAATCATCATGACATCATAGAAATAAAACTGCGTCAAAAAACTAGAAACTACATAAAATTATTAGCCCAAGCAAACCAGTATACAAAAAACTTTTGTAAAAAAATTTTTCAATTGAACTTAGACAGCTGCACATCTAAAAATATTTGCCCTTCAACTCATCAGGCACACACCACACATACATACACACATACACCCACACAATAACGCAAATATACATATATATTCGCACACATACAAACATATGCACAACAGACATACACATGCAAGACAAACAATAACACAAATATATATATATATAATTATATATATATATATATATATATATATATATACACACATAAACATACATATACACACACATATACACACAAATATTTACACACAAACACACTAACAAAAACACATATATACACACACATACAAACATACGTACATAAACACACACACACACATATATATATATATATACATACACAGGAATACACACACACACACATTCTGAATGGCGTGAAATTAAAAAATGAACAACGCAAGTTAACACGGAACGTTAAATTTAGCTAATCAGGTGCAAAGTAATTAATTAAAGGTATGACTAAGATGATGATGATGATGACGGTGAGGATAATGATGATGGTGATGATAACGATGATGATGATGGTGATGATGATGACGACGACGACGATGATGACAATTATGATGGTTGTTGTTGTCTCGTGAAATAGCTTAGAATTTTTTAAGTTTTTCATTTATTTTTTTCATATATTTTGTTGCATTAATTATAAGAAAAAAAGGGTTGCTTCATGTTGAAGAAGTTTTACACGTTCAAAAATACAAAGAGTGATTTTTGGAATGTTGGACAGAATTTGGTGAATTTAATTCGTTTCATAAAATTGTAATTAAATTATAAATAATTTAAAGCAGTTGAAATTAATTCGGCCTCAATTTAAAAAATTACAGACAACCCACAAACATATTTGAGTAAATTTTCAGGGAATATATTGCACCACATAGCAATCATCTGACAGCCAAACATTTAGTTAAATTGAAATATACATTATCGTGCAACTATCATGGCCATCATGATAATTTGTTTCCATTTGTAGAAGAATAATTGAAGAGCATTGGATCCTCTGCTCATTCGCGCACTTCTCTACTATTACATCGACTGCTGATACTTCCAGCTTCATGATCATCATCGTTAACGCTGTTGTCATCCTTATTTTTATCTGTATTGTAGTTTTTATTTTGATCAACGCTCATTTTCAAAGTTAATCCTTGACCCCAAGTTGAAAATTATGACCTTCACCACTGACCAGCAGTCAGTCCCAGCATTTCTGACCATCTCACATTGAGACAACCATCAACAAATCAATCAACCTACCGGTCAAACAACCAAACAATTAACCAACAAAAATTCCAGGAATATTCTCCTGCTTGGAGATAAAGTTCATCTTGCGACGAGATGTAGGTTACTTCCTGATCCAAGTTTACGTGCCTAGTACACTGATCGTCATTCTCAGTTGGATCTCATTCTGGCTGAACATCGATGCCTCGCCTGCCAGGGTCTCCATAGGGCTCCTCACCGTGCTAACCACGACCACACAGAGCACAGGTTTCTTTTTTTCTTTTCTTTGCTGTTCATTTCTTTGCTGCTGTGTTGGTTGCTGTTTTTATTGTCTTTGTTGATGTTGTTAAAGTGGCTTTCATCCATTCAATTTTTTTATCTTTGTATGGCTGCTGTTTTTGTTTTTTCTTTCTTTTGTTGTTGATGTTGTTAAAGTGTTTTGGCAATATTTTTATTTGCTGCTCTTGCCTTTTTTGTGCTCCTGTTTTAATGTGTGTCATTGTTTTGTTTCCAAACTGTCTTGTGCGTTTGTTGTTATCTGCTAATTGTTAAACCACTAAATTAAAAGAACGTTCATTTATTTTAACTTTATTTTCCTATTTCAATCGAATAACCCTAAAAACAATTTGATCGATTCATTTTGGCGAGTCAAGGCAACTGCAATAAAGACGCAAATAAAAGCAACTTATTTAATGTCACAGCAGATTTATAATGAAACATATCTATGCATTCTTTGTTGATAAATATTTTAACTTACAAATGTCAAATTGGTTGAGCTTATTAGTTTGTCAATATGACACTTTTGATAATTTATAAACTTGCATTATTATCAATTGATCACGTAATAGCTAATTAGATAATTTTACAAATTAATCAATCTAAAAATCATTATTCAATCAAAAGTTTAATAATTAATTAATTGAACGTTTTGCGATTATTCATTCAACCCGTCATTCAATCGATCTTTTGATCTATAAATTCAAACTATCATAAAACCAACCATGCAATTTATCATTCAATCAATCTTCAATCTATCATTCAGTCGATTATACAACCTATCATTTAATCAATCAATCAATCATTCAATCTATCATTCAATCTATCAATCAATCAATCAATCAATCAATCATTCAACATAAATTGCCCCCTAATCAATCAACCAATCAAAAACCAACTAATCAATGGAACGAACAAACAACCAAGGAATCAACGCTTCCCTGCCACGTGTCTCCTACATCAAAGCCATTGATGTCTGGATGTCAGTCTGTTTGGTTTTCGTCTTCAGCGCCCTCCTCGAGTACGCCCTCGTAAACGTCCTTGCCCGGAGGACCGGTGTGAAGATTCTCCACTCCATTCCAAGGCCCATGTTTGGCAGGCCCCCTCCCGCACCAAAGCCCCCGCCTAAGGAAAGCAACGCTGAGAGTCAACTCGACCAGGTGATGGCTATTTTTCAATTTTCATATAATTTAACTTTGGTACGATTGTTTTGTATTATTTCGTAAACATTATTAGTAAACCACACAAACACACCACACAAGCACATCACACAAACACACCACAAAAACACACCACACGAATGTTTCACCACATAAGCACAACATCATTCCAACGAGTCACTCTGAATTAAAAACACTTTTGAATAATTGTAAGCGGCTGACGACTTGATAAAAACGTGAATGAATTTCAGATCACAGTTGCGGAGACGAGTTCCGACAAGCGTCAACCACCTCGCGTCGTCGATCCTGAGGGCAGGGAAAGGGCCAGACAGGTGAGTCCTTCTAGTTAAACGTTGCACGTTGCATGTTGCATTTTTGCATTGTTCCATTGTTGCATTGTTGCATGTTGCATGTTGCATGTTGCATTATTCTGCTTGCCGCCTAACATAACTTGTTAGTCCTTTTAGTATATACAAAAAATTCAACCATTCTGTTGGATATAACTCTGTTATTTTTAACAAGCATAAAAACATCAATGTTCCAAACAAAAATAAAATTTTTCAAATTGCACAAGCATGAGACATCAATATTTAAAAACAGCTGCATAAATCTTGAACTCGCATGAATAATTGAGTTCCTCGTGCATAAAAAATAGACGAGCACCACTAACACAGTTGCGTCTATGTGGAATACATTTTTTACATCTTCAGTGTGAATTTGGATAACCAATAATGTTTACAATTTTTAAAAAATACAGCCCCAACAAACTCATGGTTGATTGAATATTGTCCATTATTTAATTACAATTAAACTTGAAATTTATCCTCAAAAAATCTCTTTAACCTCAACATACGACTCAAATACGTACCTACATGTTTGTGCACAGCACGATATGACGTGTGATAATTTTTGAGGTTCGATAAATTTATAAGATTCGAACCAGGTCATGGCGTAATAACAACGATGCAAGTAAGACGCCTAAACATCTGAGCTAACTTGCCAACACGTGCAGCAGGAACTTTAATCTATAAATTTAGTTACAAGTGGCTTAATTGCATAACAATGAGTAACAAAATGACTTTGTATGATAAACAAAAATAAGAACGAACCAATCAAACTGTCAACCAAACAATCAACCATTCATTTACCCAAACAACCAGCCGACTAATCAACCCTAACCAACAAACAGGTGGACAAAATGTCTCGAAGAACCTTCCCGATGGCTTTCATGGTGTTCGCCATTGTATACTGGGTCATGTACACACTGCCTTTTGCTGATGATGTCAAGACGTCATGATCAACCAATCAATCAATCAATTATTCAAATAAACCTCCAATCAATCAATTGATGAATCTATCAATCATTCAAATTAACTTTCAATCAGTCAATCGATGAATCGATCAATCATTCAATTAATCAATCAATCAATCAGTCGATAAGTCTATAAATCATTCAATTAATCAATCAATCAATCAATCGATGAGTCTATGAATCATTCAATTAAACTTTGAATCAGTCAATTAATCAATCAATCAATCAATCAAAAACGCACAGATCTCATCAATGTTGTTGATGTTATTTGTGTGGCTGTTGTCTTCGTTGTTTCTAGTGATATTGCAGTGCTGTCTTTGCGGCAATTTTATGATGTCGATTGAATGGTTCAGATGATCTAATGCAATAACATTCAAAATGACGACTCAAATGTTTTCCTGAATGTTCTTGCGTAGTTGTTTTGCAAATGCTGGAAGATCGGTGAGTGATTGTTGTGTGATTGTTGTGTGGTTGATGTGTGGTTGATGTGAGGTTGATGTGTGGTTGATGTGTGGTTGATGTGTGTTTGATGTGTGGTTGATGTGTGGTTGTTGTGTAGTTGATGTGTGGTTGTTGCTGTTTCATACTAACCCATAGCAGATTTTCCTATTTCTATTTGTATTACCATTATTTTTAAGAATACTTTGGCTAGCATTTCGTTCATTGCTCGCTGCAGCGTTCATATTCAACAGAGACTTTTTTCTACAAATAATTATTTATTATCTATCATGAATTGAAATTCGTATCTGCTAAATATGTTAATTATATAGAGGTGATATTTCAATTTTCGTTCAAAATGCCACCGTGTTAATAATGTTGAAGCCATTTTCGCATCTTAATTAGTCATGCTGGTGAAGGTGGTGTGCTGTAATCTGTCCTTTATGGTGTTATTGTTATAGGATGTTATTGATGTCATTAATATTTTTAATGTCGTTGATGTGTTTAATGTTTTGAAAGAATTTTGTTGTTTTTGTTGTTTATATGAGGTTCTACTTTGCTGTTTTTATGTGTCTTATTTTGTGAGTTGTTGTTGTTGTCGTTGCTAATTTGAACGTTGTTTTTACTTGTTGGGTTGATATGGTTGTTTGCTTATGTTGTTGTTTTTCTCATTTTGTTGTTTTTGCTGCTGCGGCTGTTATTGTCGTTGTTGTACTGGTTGTTGTTGTCGAAATGAATAAAATTTGTGATATTTTTGAGTTATTTTGCGACTCAGCGGTTGTTATTAGCAATAATATTCCCCCACAACGTGTCCCTAAGTTGTGAAATTGAAAACAGTGATGTTGATGATGACGATGATGATGACGATGTTGATGACGATGATGGTGTTGATGATGATCAAATAGAAGTGGTTGAAAAATAAATGCTCTGACAAAAAAAAACAGAAATAATAAACTGGAAAGAAAGAATGGAAGAAGATGAAGAAGGAGCCGAAATGAGAATACTCATCCATCTACGTTCAAATGATTGTCTCCATTCATTTCGCTTTTCAATTTTTAATCGCCACATATTATCTTCACAAAAAATACCGTTCAATGCTTTTATTTCTCTTGTAAATTATTTTTATCACAAAATTATTTGTAATTATTTATAATAATCATAATTACTATTATTATTAATTAGTTATTCCTAATTTATGCATTTGAATATCCGCAGGCACCGTACATTTTGTGAAGCGCGGCAAACGTTTGCATCCTACATATTTGCATTTGGGGCTAAACATTCATTCCTATTATTTGGTAAAAAAAATCCGCAATTGTTATTTGTTTGTTTAATTTTTGCCACAGAAATCAATTTGTTACATCTGTTTCGATCCCATGTCACTCTGCGCAAGAAAGGTAGAAAAAAAACAATGAACAAACTTCGGATGAACCAACAAATTATAAAAATTAAAATAAAATACTTTCTTCCATAGAATAGAAACTAAACGAAGAAATAAAAATGTTCTTTTCAATAACTTGGCTGTAACCAAAAAACAAAGTTGTACAAGTTTATAAAGTGTACATTACATGACTATTTATTTAGCATTATAAATGCATACATTTATCTTTCATTACAATTTTATTCATTTTTTAATAAATTTATTTATTTGTTATTTTAAATCTTGTACATTACATTTTTTGGCGACACCACAGAAAAGTTGTGCTTTCATGGAACAAACATTTGCGTAGTAGATCTTGACAAAATATATTAAATCTCTTGATTTTTAGTTAATATATATATAGGATTTAATTCAATTTATTCAGCAATAGAGTTGTTGCTCCCTACAATGCAACAGTTTACAACAACAAATGTTGAATATTCAAAGAATTTATTAAAAAAAGTTGTTTCTCAATTTATTACACTTAACAGCGCTGGCCTTAAGGGAAAGGGGGTCAAGAGCCAGCCAAAAACGTTGGATGGTTTTGGTGCGAGCATCAGGTGCTGTCGGCAATCAAAAACCCTGTTATTACTTTCAAATCACTGGTTCAACCCAAACCACTAGATCAAATTGTCTCTGTATGTTCCCAATCTAAGCCGTTTGTCCTACAAAATATTTATTTATACTTCAAAGACTTTAGTTGAAAATTAATTTAGACCTATTTATAACATTAATATGGTTATAATATTAATTCAAAATATTATCACCGAACTGTTTTCCGAATGTATGGCAATAATATTCAAATATCACGTGATTCTCTGCGTACAATTCAAGGAATGAACTAGAAACTCAATCACGACAGCAAACGATAGCGGAAAATCAAAAAACTTTCTAAAATTTTAACTGGCGTAGAGCACAAAAAACGTAAAGTTGAAAATGACAATTTATTAAATAGATAATAGAAACCTGAAAAACTTTAAAATTTTTATTTCACATCAGAAGACAGCTTAAAGGATTTTAGCATCATAAAGACGAGACTACTTAATTTGTACCAATGCTGTCTCTTCTGAAATGGATAAAAATGTATTCGACGAAAATATACCCTACAAAATAATAAGCTGCGTATTCTGTCTTCAAACTATATGGTTGGGATTTTGGTTCGTAGGTCTCACACTTCCTGACTTTTGTTTTAAAATACAGTCCTTGTTTTTTATTTACGTAATGTGACTAATTTATATACACAGCCTTTGTTTTTTTCCTGTTGATTCAATAGTGTTTGAGCTGCCTACCTACCTCCCTAAATAGTGTTGTAACTGCCTACCTACCTACCTACCTACCTACCTACCTACCTACCTACCTACCTACCTACCTACCTACCTACCTACCTACCTACCTACCTACCTACCTACCTACCTACCTACCTACCTACCTACCTACCTACCTACCTACCTACCTACCTACCTACCTACCTACCTACCTACCTACCTACCTACCTACCTACCTACCTACCTACCTACCTACCTACCTACCTACCTACCTACCTACCTACCTACCTACCTACCTACCTACCTACCTACCTACCTACCTACCTACCTACCTACCTACCTACCTACCTACCTACCTACCTACCTACCTACCTACCTACCTACCTACCTACCTACCTACCTACCTACCTACCTACCTACCTACCCTGGGGCACGGTCACTTGTTTTGCCCAACCAGCCAATGGTGTGAAGGCCAGCGCTGTCAGTTTATAATGTCTATTTTCACGTGATTCAATTCTGTGTCTCTTTTAAATTTATAATCGTAATTGTGTTTGACTAATTTTATTGAGAATAATTTACTGAATTTATTGTTAGGCTGGCTGGTTAGTTGATTGGTTAGTTAAATAATTAATGATAATTTCTGAATGATTGGCCAAACAAATGGTTTAAACTTTTGTATTACTATTATTTTTTGTAATAGTTTTCCTAATTCTTATTTATTTTGTTTTATGGTTGAAAGACTTAAATATGGAAGCATATCACAATTGTACATTTTCAATTCTTCGAATTTAAAAGATTTTAAATTTTAAATCGATATTTTCGTCTGATGAACCACAGAACGGAATAAAATTTCATTTAAAATCAATAATTACTGCTGTAAAGCATTTATTTGTATGCCTCAAACCATCGCACAATACTGGAAACAAATGCATGTGTTGTCCCGTTACAAACAAACAAGTAATTGAGTGTTGATTCAAATGAAATATCTCCAGAAGTGTTTACCTTTTGTGTCCTTCACAATTTTTGTTCTGAGAAAACCAAAGAAAGCAACACGACAAGCCATTTTTTCAATAAATTAAGTTAAAAATTATTTCTACATAATTCTTATATAGACACATAGAAAACATTCTAAATTAATGATACTGAATGAGTTTATAGAATGCTTCACATTTGGTGTGACGAAAAAATAAATTACAGAAAAATAATCCAAGTTGGTTAACTAATGGCTAATAATTGTCTTGATAATATAAATTCAAGTAAATCTGAAAAAAAGTCTGGCAAAGAATTAATGAGTATGTAGATATGAAGGAAGGATAGATGCGTTGGTAGATAGCAATCAGACAGCATCTAGAGATCATTGCAAACATTGTTCGATTCATTCACATCGACTTAAAAGCATGGGATAAATAAGTCTGTGAAGAAGTTGTTCGGTTCGGCTGAAAATGTGAGCAATTATTAGATCGATGACAGAATGAATTAATTAATTAAATAAATAATTAATTAGTTATTAATTAATTCATTGTTATGAAAAAAAAGAATGCATGAATAAAAAAAAATTAATTTGACAGAGTAATTAGCTATTGTTAGTTGGCTGGTTGGTTGGTTGGCTGGTTTGTTGGCTGGCTGGCTGACTGGCTGGTTGGTTGGCTGTATGTTAGGTTGCTGATTGAATATTTTGTTGATATATACAAAATTAGATGATTGTGTTATCGCGTTTTTGTTTAGTTGGTTGGTTTTTTATGGTTGGTTGGTTTCTTTCGTTCAGGAAGTTTCACGATGGGTTAGTTTGTTAGCTGTTGTTGTAGTAGTCATAGTCAATCGTTACAATGGTCTGTCTGTTTGTAGGTTACTGTGTTGTTGCAATAGTTACATTTAGGTTGTTGAATGAGGTTTGTAAGTTAAAAAGTTTATTAGCAAAAAGGATTTGTAAAGATTACAATGAATAAAGAGTAATATTAAAAAGTATTTAATACCAATAATTAAAATATTCAGTTTGAAACTGCTGCCCAATAATGAAATGATTAAATTTGTTGAAGGTTTCAAATTTCATTGGGTATTACGACGATAAGGTATGAATGATTTAAACTCCGATATGAACCCAAAAGGGTGAAAATACGTTGAAAAGTTCTCAAAGGAACCTCCTAAACCAAGCAACTAAAAACATTCACTGAGCACGGAACACATTACATTACGTAATCGCAGACCTATCGATACGGCGGTAAACAATAATTTTAAAAGTAAAAACAACAATAATAAAAACAATAATAGAATAGATAATAATGCTAATAAAAATAAACCTTGCAAATAATGCCGGCAGACTCTCCTCTAAGTTGAGAAGGAATTTGATGAAAGATGAAAAGAAATTATGAAATAAAGGAATTAATCAATGAATAAATAAATAAATAAAACAAAAAATAAAATATAAAAAAAATGACTCCGAAAATTAGTGTCGTGGTTATAAATAACTTATTGATCACGTGATATATTAAGGCCGGATCAATAACTGGCTTTGTAAAAGATACAATGTGCTTATGATGATGCATAAAATGTCCGTTCAAAAATTTTGCATGTATGTGTGTCTGTCTGTGTGTGTGTGGTGTGTGTGTGTGTGTGGTGTGTGTGTGTGGTGTGTGTGTGTATGAGTGAGTGAGTGAGTGGGTGAGTGTTTCCAAAATTCTATGTTATATATATATATATTTTAAACAAGATCTTCAGTATTGCTCTCTTACAACATACAACATATAACAGGAAATACTATATATATATATATATATATATATATATATATATATATATCTACTTACATAATTATCTACATATGCACATCTACATATGCATAGTTAAATTCATTGTGAAATGACATTGACTGAATGATTTAACTGAAAAAAATTCTGCATCAAATCAAGAAGTTAATATAATGTTAATTTAATGTAATTACTCTAGTTAATAATTTGAATTTATAATAGTGCAGCCAGTAAAGATTCATCAGTTCAAGGTTAAACACTTTTGAAAAATTTTCTGCATAAATAATTTTAATGATAATATGAAACAAATCAAAGTCAGTAATAAGCCAGCCAGTGTCCTGTTGCCGCAGCTGAACACGATTTGGTAAAATCGCATCATTAGAGCATTACAGTGAAGTTTATTTAGAGGCTCGATGCCTTGTAGGAGTGACATTCAGAGTTGATGTAAGGAGATGTGATGTGATCCCGTTCAGTATTGATGCAACGATGTGATGTCATTCTCAGTTGATGTAACGAGATTACTAGTTGATGTAACGAGATTACTACGATTTTTCGGCCAAAAACAACGCACACAGTCATACAAACATTCGCTTACACAACGTACATCATCCACACAACACACAAGCATACAACGTGCCTACAAATGTGCAGTTTATACTTTTGATTGGCCGAATCGAAACAATGAAACATCTTATTCAGATGCGTCCACATAATGTTAGATTATTGCTTTGTGACGATTCTTTACGATCACGATGTAACCTATAGACCTGATATTTTCAGATTCGCATCTATATAACTGCGTTCTATTCTGTCTCCTTATGCATATAAACACATTGTGAATGACGAGAAATGCAGGGAGCAGTGACGCCTGTTTCTATGGTTGAGAATTTGTTGTGTGCGTGTGTGTGTGCGTGTGTGTGTGTGTGTATGTGTGTGTGGTGTGTGTGTGTGTGTGTGTGTGTGTGTGTGTGTGTGTGTGTGTGTGTGTGTGTGTGTGTGTGTGTGCAAGATCATGTTTGCATTGGGGATGTATGTATATTTTCTAATGTGTTATTTACCTGAGTACATCTAAGTGGTGAAGAAACATTGAGTGTTCTTTCGTTTATGCATACATACACACGCACACGCACACGCACGTACACTCACACGCACACATACACGCACACATACACGCACACATACACGCACACACAAAAAATACTCATACTTTTTTCATTCAAAAACACTTGCATCGGTTACATGCATATTCTTCCGTTTGATAAGGACAAGGATCACAATTCTCATCGTCAACAATTCAACATTAGCGTCATAGTGCCTTGATTTAACTTGTAAAAATCCACTTCATGTGGATATACTTTTACACATTAGCGTTTAAATTGAGTTTAATTTCTCAATCAACATTAATTTTCCCGTTCCAGTTACTCTCTTCCATCGTATAGGAACAAACCAGTTGAAATACTAGTCTAAATATTTTCAAAAGACCACCACTAACTTCATAACTGCTGCACCATCATTGCACTTTCACCATCGTTTGTACGTATGTATGCACGTATGTCTGTGTACGTATGTATGCTGGTATTGAATATGTACATACGTGTATCAATATGTATCGATATGGAAAAATTGCAAACAATGGTTTTAAAATT